CTGAAATTTTTGTCTAGACTTGTCTAGATCAAAACTTTAGTTATAAGGGGAAAGGTCTATTTATACCCGCGCCAAAACGATCGAAAAAACGCACGTAAAAACGCACAAGTAAAAACGTAAAAACGCACAATTTAATTGTAACAAACCTGCAGCAGACTTGTAGCAATGCTGTTCCAACAAGTTGTCGTCAGGATGTGTTCGCACTGCATGTTTCTCAGCTTGTTGACAAGTTGTGAACGGCTTGTTGAAAACTTGCTACAAGGTTGTTGAGCTCAACAGACTGACTACAAGTTGTTCCAACAACTTACAATTTGTCAACAAGTTATGAGTGACAACCTTGTAGCAACTTGATAAAATAACAGCATTGTTACAACTTGTTGACAAGCTTGCTACAAGCCTGTTGCGAACACATCTTGTTGATAAGTTGTGAGATTTTTACGTATGTAGAAAATCTTACGCCAGTGCTAAGAAAAATGTAGCATCACAAATATTTCTAAATAGTATATTGAAGCGGTCCGGCTATAGACAGAACTGGAAAAGTGATAAAAATGGAAAATTCGACCGTATTTTACATTAAATTTGAACATTGTACAACACTACACAATCTCAAATGACAGATGAGAGATATTCCGGCAAAATGTTCCTTAGTCTTCTTAGGCAAAATGTCCCTCAGGTCCCGAGATTTCGCCTTTTTTCAGATCTACCAATAATAGATGACCATAGATGATCGAGCAGATTATAAAGAACAAATCTACAGTATTGAAATAGTTCGAAGACTTACCTATGACAATGTATACTTTTTCAACTATATGATCTCAGTTGAAGTCGAAGCCACAGTTGTTAGACTGAAGTATAAGCGGAAGTATAAACGCGTAAAAAGAGGTAATATCTGTGTCAACTAAACTGAGTGTGACATATATTAAAGGAACTTTGTTTTTTAATATGTTTGAAAGCAGATGATTGGACAAAGCGAACCAAAATGAAACTAAGTTTGTATCGGAATACCAAGAAAAGAAAAAAGACAACAAACTGGTTTCTTTGAATTGGGACAATGGTTTCACGCAGGAATGAGTAAGGCGCTGTTACACTAAGCAACTTGTCTCGGTAATTATCTCGCAATATTAATGTTTTTGGTAAACCTGATGAAGCTAGAACATTGTTGCTGGACTATTACCACAACGCTGTCAAGACATTAGGGAGCTTAAGCATGCAGGACGGCAACACGACGACGACGGCAACCAATACAATGAGTCAATGAAAAGAAATAAATAATTAAAGCCCCGGGGGAGTTTCAGACGTAGTTGTCGTTCTGTTTACAACGGCAAATCACAGATTTTCACGTCGTTTATACAACACCTGCATTATAAGCCGTAACAAGTACAACTTAAAATTCGGTTCAGTAGAACTCTTCCCAAACATAAAGCCAATGTTTTCAACTTCTTATACTGTATTAAATTCATACGAATTATAATATACGACAAGTTTTCTTTACTATCATTTATTTGAAGGAATTTGTTTTGGCCATTGTCGCCGCGTTGCCGTCCTGCATGCTTGTATGATGTGGACGACGCCAGAACGTGGAGAACAGTCTGCTTGAAATGCAACACATCACGCAAACTCATGCTGCAACCATGAACGTGCTGCTATTAGTACTGTATACACCACATCCATTACCATAAACTTTCAATTTATATATTAGTTATGTGTTTTCTGTATCCAAGGCCACACAGTAATTGGTTTTAGGGACCGGTCATTATTTATGGAAGGGGGGGGGGAGAAAAAATAAGGGGGGGCCATATGTAGAAATAAATGACAAGAAGGGGGGGCTATTAAATTTTTTCAAGAAAATGACTGGGGGGGTGTTGCAATTAAATTTGAAGAAATTTGCTTAATAACCTGGTATCCATTTGGTTGTAAATGTTGCAACTAAATCATGGTCACTGATGTGAAATAGTCTGGATTCATCTTGTCTTGTGTGTGCTGTATGCAAATCAGATTTATGGTTTGCAGACTAGTTAAATTGACAATGTATTATTACATCAGCTCTTGATGTGGTTAAATACATTTAAATTAAGCAAGGTTAACGGTGGATGTATTATGCAGGCCACATCCGCTGAGGGGAGTCTGTGACGTCATATCGATCAAAGGGGGTTGTTTCATGCCTTGTGATCAGTGCTTCGGTCTGGGTATTTATTCTGCCATTGTATGCTTTGCCTAGCTGCAGCAAGTTAAAGTTTTGCGCTTCGATATCTTTTCCCCACCCACCCACCCACCCACCCATGTTCATTCTAAAGGATTTTATCTGGTAGCTAGTATATGTCATTTTATTTTATATAATTTTTAATCTCACATAAAATAGGATGTATAGACCACTATACATTGTATTTCGCAGGTATGCCTTGGCAGAATTGTCATTGCTAAACTATCTCTTTTTGCTGCTAATATTACTGATTGTTGCTCTCATTGTTGCTGCGCAGCTGCTATGGCAATACTTCGTACCATCAAGTCTAGTTGCAGCCTTAAACATGGTTACAATCGCCCAGACCAAATGGAAACCTGATTTTAGTGTTATATATAAAAATACTCCTCTTTTAATTATAATTTTCTGCTAATATATTTTTGGTCGACGTTAATATCTTGCCAGTTCCATATTCTTATTTAATAATTAACACTATAACGCCTGGGTATCCCCATTTGACGAGTAAAAGAGAAATGGGGGGGGGTCAAAGAAAAATATTCAAATATGCAGGGGGGGTCATCATTAAATTTCTGCTCTTTTAGGGGGGGGCTTTCAATTTTAAAAATTTAGAAAAGAAAAAATTCCCCTCCCCCCCCTTCCATAAATAATGACCGGTCCCTTAAGCTGTTGTGGTGTCGCCGCCTTTTTGTCGTTGTCAACTTTATTGTTGCTGCATGTCACCTTTTTGTCCAACCTTGAAACGTGGGAGGCTCGGCGTATTTTCTGCGTTTCGAAAAGTTTTGTCTAGGTCTATGCCAAGTTTTTAAGCAATTTTCCAATGTTGGGCTCATAAAATTCAAGCATATTAAATGAATGTGTATGATTCTAAAATTATACCATCCTAGGTTTAATTTCGCAATCATGTACGTTGCGCTGAAGTTTTCACGTTAAGATGTGCGCAGTAAAAGTGCGCAATGCAAAACTGCGGAATTACCTTAATAAGAGTTTTATACAACCGGCCCCAGAATTCAAGGCTACCAGAATCCTTAACGCAATTTTTCCAAGACAGCATGACAAGGATTGAAAACTTTTTTGACCCCCCCCCCCCTCCAGACTGAAGGCAAACTTTTTGTGCCCCCCCCCTCATAAAAATAGAAACTTTTCTGACCCCCCCCCAGTGTGGATTGAAAAATTAACAGCAATGAAACAGGTGTGCGTTGCAGGTAAAGTTAGATATTAGGACAATCTGCTTAATCTAGCTCATGATGTTTTACCCTGGTGAATATGATTCAACCATATATGATTAAAAAATATATATTATGTGTTACTACTTTGCAATGCAACATTTGTCCTACCATAACCCTAACCCATGACCCGTCTTCATACAGCGAAATGATTTGAACACAGGGTTTTTTTAAGAACTTGTCTGGGGGAGTGGGGGGGGGGTGGACATCTACAAAAAGGGACCATACTATATTGAGTGTGGAGAGATGACAAATGTGGTATTGTATGTACTAGTAGGCGGGTCTGGGAGTATTCTCCCCCCGAAATTTTTTTGTATTTTTCCACCCCTAGAACTGAAATGTGAGCATTTTCTGAAACAGATTTTTGGATATACAGCGTTACATTGTGTGTTGATAGACCGAATCTGATCAGTTAAATGTTCTTGCATGGTATGTTTATGTAAATACCACAACTGGGTCACTCAGGGGGTAGAAAGCTTGTTAAACTTAGTGGGCTCAACAGTCGCGAGGCGCCACCATGGAGTGGCGCCGAGCAGGGAAATTTTGAAAATTTTGAGTCTCTAGATCGTTGGAAATAGCATTTTCAGAGTTTTTTTTTGCTATTTGTGATTATAGAAATCAAAAACTTTTATGACCCCCCTTTATCTGTGTTAAAACTTTTTTGACCCCCCTATTTATAAGGGTAAAACTTCGTTTGCCCCCCCCTCCCATTTCCCAACCCTCCCCATAAATAATGACCACTCCCTTATTTCATAAATGAACTGAATTACAGTATTGAAAGACTTATCTATGACAATGTAATATTTTTTCAGCTAGCTATATCATCTCAGTGGACGTCGAAGCCGGAGTTGTTACAGACTAGCTGAAGAAGTATGAACGCGTGAATAAAGGTAATGTGCAAGGACGCCGGAACGATAAAAAAGCAAGGGGGGGGGGGGCAAATGCACACCAAAGGGCACCTTTATGTGATGACTTGCCAATGAAAGCAAACGCACTTAATCAGGTCACCTTCAAGATCACACTTCATGATTTTGCCCAAAAAGCATCACTGCATGGAAACGTGATTTATCAGGTAGTATTTTATAACTCAAAGGCACTTCTGCCCCCCTTGCCCCTCCTAGCAAAAGGGGCAGCTGCCCCTCCTGCCCCACCCCAGTTCCGGCGTCCCTGGTAATGTGTGTCATGCAGTTACAGAAGAGTGTGCATGACTGATCTTATTAAAATATACAAGGAATTTTGTTTTTTCACATGTTTGAAAGCAGATGAGTGGACAAAGTAAACCAAAATAAAACTAAAAGAAGACACGGCAAGCTGGGTTCTTTGAATAGTAGGACAATCGTTTCATGCAAGAATGATTAGAAAGAAACGTCTTTTGTAATTAAATAAAACATACTCATGCGGAATTCGTATACATATCAGAAAGAGTGAAAATTCAAGGACTTTCAAGACCATGTATGATGTATCAGCAAATTCAAGCACTAAAGTACACTGACATTAGAACAATGTCACGTTGAATTGTTCAAAACGCAACTTGCCTTGTCAGATACAGTGTCAGTGATCATGCGAAATCAATTCAACAAAATGTCCGTTTTTGAATGTCAAACAATTTCAGAAAATATCCGAAAACTAAAGCAAGAAAAATTTAAGGACTCTCAAGTACTTCTTTACAAATTCACTTGACATTCAAGGACTTTCAAGTTTTGTACGAACCCTGCATACTATATGCAAATATATAATATCAGCCGAGAAGCCCTGTGAACGAGGATGGTCACGTATACGCGAAAAGAGTCAGACAGATATAATGTTGAGGGTTAGCCCTAAGGCTTAACTGATTCTTCCATCGCAGCTGCGCTCCGCGATCACACGTGCACGAGTCATTACGTGACTGCAAAAGTGGGCTGGGATAGAAAGATAATGTATTTAATCACGTACCAACGGAGAGCTCGAAAAGCTGGTAAAAACGTGAACGTGAAGTTTATAATTACATTTTGAACTGAAACTTCAAAAGACTTGCATAGTATAGCATAAAGAACCCGTACGACATGTTGTGTTGAGTACATTGTTGTTAACTAAAATATCCTACCTTTTTCCAGTCAAAATACTCAAATCTCATCGATTAGGTTTACAATTTATTGGCTCACAATTCTACAATGTCAGTTTTCTACTAACTAAAGTCTGTAACTATCGTGCGAAGCCGGAAGAATAAATTTTTAACATTCTTTGAAGCATCAACATTTGCCAACTTCATATCGAACTACATCTTCAGTTTCTACGCGACTGGGTATGAGATACACGACGTTGTTTCATTAACACTCTCCATTCTATAGTTTTGCTTGTGGATTATCAAGCAGTTTATAGGCAGGCAATGTCAAGAATTCCTCCATCTCATTGGACAAAACTAGATAATCCAAAATCTCTGCTGCTTGTTGCAATCTTCCCTTGCCCGATCCACCTTGCCGCTGCAGTTCTTCACCCCGTATTGCTCTGTACATGCTAGGCGTAAAGGTTTCTCCATTGTCCAGGATCACAGAATGTCGGAGCCATTGCCAGAGTTGTCCTCGGGAGATCTCTGCGGTCGCCGCATCCTCCATCAGATTGTTCACTGCAACCGCTCCTCGGCCCTGGAAAAATGAAGAGAGGAAACTGATTAAATTGCTCATATCAATCTTCTTCGTTGAGTTTCTCGCTCATTGGTGAGCGGATTTCCTAACAGGCTATTCCCAATTGATAGGGGATCCGAGGTACCTACGATTTTAACGTCCTTATCCGAGAAGACGCGAAAGTCTAACCATTTACTGATGTCAATGTAAAGGTAGCTCTTTCTCCTCAATTATTTCAAGACCTTGAGTAGAGGTCCGACCAAGGATTGAACCCAGGTCTCCCAGCTTGAAAGGCAAGCATGGTGATCACCAAGAGCTGGTTAAACAACTCTGAGTGGTACTTCTCGACATGGTAACAACACGCGTAATAAGCTCATACACGTGGTATCACTCATTGCCAACAAGAACAGCAAGATGTGTTCGCCGAACAGACTTGTAGTTGGCAATACAAGTTCGTGACTCACCCTAACAAGGTTGTAATAAGTCATCAACAATTAACATTGTAGCAGGCCTGTATAAACTTGTCAACAAGCTGGGAACAAGCAATACCAATATAACCTTGTATTGTCTTGTTGGAATAACCTGGTAACAAGTCTGCTGCGTTCTTTCATCCAGTATTTGGACTGAAAAATAATTTACTACAATCAACGACAACGAAATATCACGTAGTTCAAAACTTCATAACGATCCAACGTTTTCAACTCCTCATCTGCCCATCAAACCACAAGCCTAGGATAACCGCAAAAGGAGACAAACATACCTGAAGCCATTCATTAATATATTTGAGAGCCACACCAGTATTCTTTCTGACTCCTTCTTCAGTAACCTTTCCTCCTTGGATATCTATTGTAATCAACTCATCCACTTCCACATGGACATCTTCTCTCAAGCGATGTTTTTGATGGTTTGCATTATGCATGCCTTGGACAAACACTTCTCTTGCAACCTGAAAAGAAAGACCTGTTATTATCATCACCAATACCATCATGATAGTTCCCACCATCATCACCACTATCATAATCATTATGATTACTGGTTATCATCACCATCATGGTTACCACCATCATCACTACCATCATCACAATAATTTTTCTCAATGCCACCATCACTATCACCACCATCACCAGCAAAATAGCACCAAGCACTGTCATGCAGCAGATGTTGGTCAACTGGCAATTACCAGAGTGAGTTCTTTTCATTACACCATGTGTAGTACTTTCAAGGAAATAAAATGTAGTTGAGTCTTCTTGCTCCAATGAGTGTTAACATTCAATTAAATGAAACTTACCAAAGGTTAATTACTAACCTGCACGAGGTCAGGGTGTGCTACCCATGTGCCATCAAAGCCATCTGCGACCTCCCGTTCCTTGTCCCCTCTGACCTGAGAGAAAGCTCTTCTGTTCACCTCTTCATCATGTCTGCTTGGAATGAACGCGGACATTCCTCCCATGGCATGTGCGCCATGTTTGTGGCAGATTTTCACGAGGCGTTCTGTATATGCTCGCATGAAAGACACTGTCATGGAAACCTGGAAGGCAGAAGATTAACTGGATGCAGTGCTAACACAAATTGAAAATTGAATAAGGACAGTTGATTTGGTACCCTTGGTTTCAGAGGTCTATTTTCATTGTATACAATACTAGAAATGGCAAAGGAAAAATAAACCTCCCACAATGAAGATTTGGTGAGACTGGTAGCTTGCACAGTATTCAATGAAATGATAAAAGGAAATTGAAATATGAGACAGTATCATGCACTTAGCTACAGCCTACCGAAGGCAAGCTATCTCTGTGGCCTCACCTGTTTCCTGTCAGGTAACACAGCTTCAGGTTTACTCTGAAGACGTTTAATAATGCTAAAGATGTAATCCCATCTGCCTGCATTTGCTCCACAGCAATATTCTCTCAACTCATAGATCATTTCTTCAATATCTACTGCGGCCGGGAGAGTTTCAATCATGATTGTTGCACGGATTGTACCTAGACAAGAGATGGATCATCTGTCAAAACATGTTGTTGGTGACTGGAAGATCAGGTATTCTGTGTAAACCCAAGATAACCTGGTGAAAATAGTGTGATCTGTATAGAAGGCAAATCATGAAACTGTCTACCAAAGTTATAATGGGACATTTATATGAAAATCAGCCCACCTTGCGGCACATACATGTAGTCTTCAGCAGCCTGAAACACCTGGTTCCACAGCCTGCATTCAAGGTAGGTCTCCATTTTGGGAAGATAATAATATGTAGCAGAACCTCGGCTTATTCTCACATGAATGTTGTGAAAGAAATAAAGACCAAAATCAACCAAGGCCCCCGCCATCGGCAATCCATCACACTCGATGTGTCCTTCGTCCAGGTGCCAACCTCTTGTTCGCACAATCAAGCATGCAATCTTGTCTTTCAGTTTGCGCACAGAGCCTAGAATAATATAGGTTATTGAGTTTATATTACCGGTACAATATGATAGGGAATCAATTACAAAGTTATTCAGCTAAAAATATACCATCAGCATTTCGAAATGAAATGGTGCCTCGTTCAGCATCGATAAGATTTGCCTGTCCTTCAACAATATTCTTCCAAGTTGGGCATAATGAATCTTCAAAGTCGGCCATGAAGATGTCAGCACCACTGTTGAGTGCATTGATAACCATCTTCCTATCAGTTGGTCCAGTGATCTCAACATGACGTCGCTGGAGGTCTGGTGGAACTGCTGCAACCTTCCAGTTATCATCATGGTTAGGCTTCAGGTATTCAATTGGTTGGCCAGCATTGATGGCATGCTGTCGTTTTCTTCGTTTGTCTAGGAGCTGGAGTCTGTGGTAGTTGAAGCGTCTGTGAAGGTCGGCCAAGAACGCAAGAGCATCGTACGTTAAGACGCGCTCGTATGAAGGCTGGATAGCCCCTTTGATTAGGACTCCTGTGGAAGGTATGCATGGATCTTATTAATAATACTCTATGATTGCTAAGCATTTGCACTTTATTAGAAGAAATTTAGTAGTTAGGTGGCATGCATTTGCAATAAATAGCTATTGTGGAGATGGAGGGAAGAGAGCCCTTATCTGATAGGTTCCTGGATATGAGAGGATGCCCCACTTAAATCCCAAGAGTGGATAGCATCATAGCAACTGTCCTTATCAGGAGGGGGTGAGGGTAGAGACTATAGTGTTGCTGCTATCTAATGCCTGTTACCACTACCAAGAACGAAACAATTAGTTAACCAAGGATTTAAATTATATATGGGAGATAGACATGCGCTGGTTGAATACGTTGGCGTATTCGCATTGCTTGTCGTAAAATTTTGGGTTATGTAACAATTTTCTTCTGGCACAAAAATACAGTTGACATCCTGTCATGTGGGTAGATACAGGAATCAACACAGACAAACACACTACCTGGGGGACAATTCATCTCAGTCTCTTGCATTGGATTTATAGCGACCTGGAAAAATACAAGAAAAATATAAAATCAAAGGCCATCGTTGGGCGTCCATGGGGCGGGGTAGCAACGCAAAAACGTTTGCAACAAAAACTCGAAAGTTACTAGATATTTACATTTCATATTTACCGATAAAATTACAATTATTTACAAATATTAAACACTGTTGAATCTGCATTTGGCGCGAAAACAATCCGCGAAAACACATGTTATTACGCACATATCAAATTACAATTAAAAATATTTATACATCTAAATGTCAATTTCATATTATTGAATATTTGCTCGTTTTTTAGTTACATTACGCACAAATTCGGCACCAAAATAGCTTAACATACCCTTATAACGATGCTGAATTACATAAAGTTAAACGTCAAGTCAAAATATTTCACGAATTTTATGCAATTTGCTATCCGATTCTTTACAAATCGAATGTCAATTGGGTACAAAGTTCGAAATTAAACGTGCATGTCTACATGACCGATTTGTTAGTGTTTTTCTACCCTGAAACATTGTAAACAAGCTAAGAACTTGATCAATACATTTTTAAACAAATGCCATGCAAAAAATAAGAGTTTCAACGATTTTCTGTCGATAGATCAACGCCTAATTCAGAAATGCATACAATTTTTGATTTTGACTTGTCAAGCGTATAATTTATAAACGAGCATCCCAAAACATTTTGCAGACTTTGGGGCCATCAAATCTAAAATACTGCAAATACTGAACAACAAAGTTTATATTTGGATCATAAGTTACCTGAAAAAGATAAATACAGCCCAGCAACAAAGTGAATAGACGAATTCCTGTCTACGTGCAAGAAAATATGAACTTTGCACGTTGTTATCAAATTATAGTAAACACAGAAAAGCCTTTTAACCAATGAGCGTTCGCGAAATTGTTATTTTTAGCCAAGTAGCCAATCAGAACGCTGTGCCACGTTGTATTGAAATTAACATATCTTTTGTTTATAAATATACTACATGTGGTTTGGTACTGCATTTGATCTATAGTGGTGAGCAGAGAAGCACTTTGATTTTGATCCCTTTTGCGAGGCCAACTTTTCTCGTAGTTTTTGCTTATTTTAAAATGGCGTCGTTCAGGCAAGACAGATTCTCAGGAATCAAACGAGATTACACTCCTGAAACGGTCAGGCGTTTGTCAGGATCAGTGAAAATTGAATACACTCTGGCCCAACGCGGTGCCGAAAAACTCTGGGATTACATGACGGCTGGAGGCAAAGAGTATATCAACGTGCTTGGTGCTTTGACAGGTAAAGTATAAACGTTTGGTTTTTTAGTAGAGCATTGTTTTTCAACCGTTTTATCTCGTGGTACAAGCATAATGTAACTGTTATTGTATATATTTGATTTTGTGCCAAACATATAATAAAATCTTATCTTTTAAGGCATAAATATTTAAGCAAAGTGTTATACTTTAAAGCCAATTTATATCACAGCCTTACAGAAATTATTTGAAGAAAACTACAATGTCTATGTGTTTTCGTGTATAGAAATTCCACATCTTATAGTCCAAAGTCCAAATTGCCACCTACAAGACTCCCACATTAATTGCTCTTCCGATTTTGTAATTTAAATATTTACATCTAATAAAAACACTTTGCTACGATAAATTTGGGTAAAATATTCTTGAATTGAGAGCCAGTTTGTACGTAAAATAAATAAATAGATTTGATAATGTTACTGCCTGGGAAAGCCTGCATATTTTGCTAGTACAAAGAAGTCCCTAGCAACTATTTGAAAAACGCAGTTATTGTCTATAGCCTTTTGACCTTTGTCCTCTGTTATCAATGAAACGCTGTTATGTGACTCGAAAGTCAAAACTGCGGGGCATTCACGTTTCTACGCAAACAGATAAACAGAAACTATTGTGTAGTCAAAAACTTACCAAATACCATTCAAAATATTAAAAAGCAGAATCTATTTTAATATTTTTATAGTGGGCGCTACAGAATTGTTGATACATGTCTCCGAAACAAAACACGTGTGGTTGCTAATGTTTACTTTATACGTATCAACAGTGGCATTTAAATTTAAATTCGAATTCCGTTCCCTCCTAAATGATTTGCTTATTGTGAAATTTATTTATATGAAAGCTATAAATATCTAATATTTATAAGTTCTTACGTGCACGGAAATAAAAAATAATATGAGTTTTAATGCGTGGAATGTTCTTAGCAACCATTCTGGCCAACAATAAAGTTTTTGTGTGCTTTATTTTGGTTGCTGGGTAAATCCAGGGGGCCGGGTAAACCCCGCAATATATCACAGGGATAAATTATTCGATGACGTCATGAGATGATATCCGTTCGAACGCTGATCTCAAAATAACACTGAGCCACACTGGACAAAGCAACCTTTCTTTCAATCTCGTTTCTCGCGAGGCTTTTTGACTGTTGATTGACCACCATCTGCTCAATGATAGTGTCTTATACTATAATGAATTCATGTATTCTGTATTTTCCTAGAACCAGACTTAATAATAATACAAACAAATACAAACCATTTTAGAGATCTAATCTTACACTGCCCCTAGGCCTTCTGTCTTATTAACTACATATTAGAAATTACGACTTAAAATATTACATTAAACTAGTACAAAAATATATAGTACAGATTCAAAGAACTACAGTATAATTGTATTGCTTATACTGTAAGCTCTTATTTTAAAAAGGTATTAAGTAGTATTTAAAACACGAACACGGACTGCGAGTATTTTAAATGACTTAAAAAACGACCCATCTGATGTGTTTATTGGCGAAGTATATGTAAATGAACATGATTTTTTTATCACATATAAAACATTAAGCCAGTTTTCCACTAGGCGGTGATTTTTCAGGTGGAACTAATTAAGCCTGATTTCCACTAGGCGGAATTTTGCGCGCGCAGCGGAAATTTTCTTTGTCTTATAACGTAGAATGGCGTGGTTACATTTATTTGCTCTTTGACTAAAATGTTTAGCTGTATTATTGCTAAACATGCCGTTTTTGAGAATTTGGTTTTCAACTAGGTTGAGGCACCCAGCCACGCCATCAATCCCAGTAAAAACATTAGGTCACGTCAGCTAGTTTTCTATCCATTTATTTTATTATCCATGGTTCCACCTGAGAAATCACAAGACAAAGAAAAATTCCGCTCCGCGCGCAAAATTCCGCCTAGTGGAAAACCGGCTTTAAAACCGACACGACAGTGATTTCCTTTGTCTTTTCTTCATGAATTATTAATGAGTTCAAGTGATGTTGATTCTCTTATCTCGCGTGGAGCTATGGACGAAATTTTGATCTAGACAAGAAGGACGAAAAGGTTTGGTTGGGAATTGTTGTAAAATGAAGAAAATATAGCCCTGTGAAGTTCGCAAATTTTGTATATAATTTTTTTTTTACATTTACATATATTTGCATTACGCGCGGGGAAAATAACCATTTTTGAGTTATTTTTACCGCGCGTAATACAAATATATACAAAATTTGCGAATTTCACAGGACTATATTTTCTTTATTTTACAATATTTCGCAACCAAACTTTGCAATTTTACTCATTCTAAGATGCTCTTTCTAGCTGTGGTGTTGGATTTCGTTCTTCTTGCCTTGATCAAAATTTTGTCCACAGCTGGAATCACACATTAAATAACGTTGCACCACTTTATGGCAAAGTTTTTTTTGTCTAACTGTTAGTTTTGTTCGCGGTATCACAGATCATTGCCCATATTTAATTTAACTTTACATCTGTTCATGAAAATTTCAGGAATGCAGGCGGTGCAGATGGCAAAGGGCGGGTTAAAAGGCATCTACCTGAGCGGTTGGCAGGTCGCAGCCGATGCAAACTTGGCTGCACAAACATTCCCGGATCAAAGTTTATACCCAGCCGACTCCGCTCCGAAGTTGGTCGAGAGAATCAACAATGCTTTCCAGAGAGCAGATCAGATCCAGCACATGGAAGGAGGCTATCCTAAAATGGATTATTTTCTCCCAATTGTTGCCGACTGCGAAGCTGGATTTGGTGGGCCTTTGAACGCTTTTGAAATCGTTAAAAATATGGTAAGTATAGAGCTGGTTTTTCACTCGTGAATTCCTTCGTGAGCCTCACGAAAAACCAGCTCTAAAGTATCGAATACTTTTATTTGTCAAGCCTGTTTTCCGCTTCAATCGTAACGTGGCGTTTTCTGTCGATAGCTTCACCATCTTGTCTGGATCAGTACTCAGTAGGGGTTTTCTTCTCTAACGCTTTGAAATAAACAGACGTGCAGAAATACATAAAAACCAAACAGCAGGGTTAGTGCTAATCCAGCTTTGAACAACCGGCCTCAGATCATTTTTTTCAAGCCTCATAAAATTGACCTTTGATTTGTGTAACCCAGATTAGACTTTCGTATTTATAAGTTAAAGTTTCTTTTTATTGACTTTCAAAAAAAATAATTGACATTCAAACTGCCGGTTAAGGTACTCAGTATTTTGTCAGCGACAAATATGGGAAAATATCAGTAGGACATTAGTGAAATTAACCCCGTTTAATTTAAACCCATGAGCAAAGCAACAATTTAGCGCTTAGTTTTTAAACTTGTTTTCTAAAATATTTTTCACTCTTCGTGTAGATCAAGGCTGGTGCCTCGGGCATTCATCTGGAAGACCAACTGGCCTCGGAGAAGAAGTGTGGTCACATGGGCGGCAAGGTCCTGGTACCCACTCAACAATTTATCCGACTTTTGAACGCCGCGCGATTAGCTGCTGACGTCATGGGCGTGACGACCGTTATTGTTGGCCGTACCGATGCCAACTCGGCCGGGTTAGTGACGTCGGATATTGATCCTCGGGATAAACCTTTCCTAACAGGAGAACGAACCCCTGAAGGCTTTTTCCGCAGTCGTGCCGGGTTAGATCAAGCCATCGCGCGAGCCTTGGCTTACGCACCCTATTGTGACGTCCTCTGGTGCGAAACAAGCAAACCGAACATAGAGGAAGCACGAAGATTTGCTCAAGCTGTCCACGCTAGATTCCCTGGGAAGCCGCTCGCGTACAACTGTTCCCCCTCGTTCAACTGGAAGGCTAACCTCAACGACCGCGAAATCGCTGTATTTCAAAAAGAACTGGGACGACTTGGTTACCGATTCCAATTCGTAACGTTGGCTGGTTTTCACTCTCTAAATCATGCCATGTTCAAGTTAGCTCGTGATTACAGAGACAATGGCATGACGGCGTATACGAAAATACAAGAAGACGAATTCAATCAAGCGAAGTTTGGTTTCACGGCGCACAAACATCAACGTGAAGTCGGAGTGTCGTATTACGATGCCATAGCTATGGCGGTGAGCGGTGGAAACAGTTCAGTGACCGCTTTTAAGGGTTCGACTGAAGACGAACAATTTAAGCATAAATTGTAAGGTTTTAGGCGTACGTTGTAAAAAGTGGCATTAGGTACAAATTTTAAGAAATATATGCCGAGTATGGCGGGTCGGAGGTCGGTCAATTTTACGTAAATTTAACGTTTAAAAAAGTGATATACTGCATGAACTAGTAGGATTTTAGTTTTCTTTTTAGTTAATTTTACCATTCATTCGTCCCATTTTATATTATTTACGTTGTTCAAATATTTCCATTTCTTGCTCGAAAAATGTTGTATTAGTCTTCGAAATTAGGTTATTTACTATAATATACATTTTCTGTAAATACAATATGTATAATTTTTACTTAGCGAGTTTTATTTAGTATTTGATTAATACTTTACTTCCATTCGCTGTATGTATATTCCTATCTTAAGTTCTTGTGAAAATAAAATTGTTTGATCTTTAATTTCTTTTATACTTGGTATTTAATTTCGTATGCGTAAACGCGTCAAACGGACAGATGTACTAGCAGTTTATAATCACGATATCAACTTGACATTGAACTCTGTCAAAGTACGCTTCAATTTGGAATTGCATAAAACATTCAATTCGTGCTCCCGTTCCGTGGAGCAAGCAAATTCATCCGGGCCTTGTCCACAACCCCCCTGATTGCCAACACATGGATACCCAGGATGCACCATGAACTCACAGATGGACGGTGGTGGTTGTTGCTGGGTCTTTGTTGCTTTGTAAGTCTGGATAATTCGTTCAACATTCGTATGTTTGCCCATCAAAGATATACCCATAAATAATGCTGGAAATCTAAACACATAAGATACAATTTTCCATATTTGAAAATAGAATAAAAATGTGGCGTATTTATAAAAATGCATAAAAATAGGTACGCAATGCGTACACACCTGCTCAGTAAATAATATGCTACAATTATTCAGGTTGACAAATTTAATAGATGATTGTGTAGCTTTAATGGTAATACTGTATATTTTTTTGGGACATGACTGTCATTTTTCCAAATTTTCAATGAATGCTAACCTTATATGATACTTGGTGTAAATATCCATTGCTGTGCTTGCATCTTCAAAAACTTTGTTATAGAAGTCATTGTTGCCATCGAACCAGCGACCTAGCTCACTTTCAAATGGAATGCGTATCTGATTGAGAGAGTATAAGTTCATGACTTCTGCAATGACGTCTCGTATTTCTGGCAGTACATGGATATGCTGGTGGCCATCGACGTGGTTAGGACGGTAGCCTACATGTCCAATGAATGTTTCTATTTGTGCTTTGACCTCATTCCTGAAATGTATTGAGTATATAAATATAATTGTGGTTGACCTGTGCCAGTGTAGGTAGAGGCAATTATAACAAAACTTTGGTTGGTAGGGATTCCCGAAAAAATACCAGGAGAAATTCGACGTTTCGAGCGAAGGCCCTTCGTTGGGCCATTGTCTATTCTATTGTGAAACATTTGTGTTCATCAAGAACATGTATTAGTTGGTTTAGGAGGGTTTTATAACCACTGATCAATGCTAACTTTGTGTAGGGGTGTCAACAGTTAGAGGGAGGGGGCCACCCCACCCTTAGATCAGTGTATGGGTGATCTGCCCCCGCCCAGAATATTTACCCTCACTCTTTGCAAAAATTGTAAAAATTAACCAAATTCATTACTCGACATGGGACATGTTAATTTCTCCACGGGATAAAGCGTCTCTAAATCCAAATTTTCCGCGAAAAAAGCAGTTCCCTTCACTTGTCAAGGAAGTATTGCCATTCTCACTAACTGGCTTGCCCTCAGTCAGATTGAGATGAATGCCCAATATCAGTCCATGTTCTTGTGCAAGTTTTACAGCAGTTGTTCTAGCAGAAAAACCGTTAACGAGCAGCGATGCGCGGGTTATAATTCCATTATTAAACGCTTCTATTATTCCTTTGTCTCTCTGCTGTGCATAGCCAAAATCATCAGCGGTCACTATCAAGTATTCGCGTTTTGGGGCATCTGAAGCCAACAAACCATCCTCTTTTAGTGAATTAAACGAATTTTCCGGTTTCATGTCAAAATTTTACAAAAAAAAAACATATATTTTTTGACAAAATTGCATGGATTTTTAAATTTTTTACATTATATGAGAATAAAATTGACCGCTCCCCCTAATTTAAATTTGTAATTTGTACAACACCCTCCTGGAAAAAAGCAACATGGCCGACGAAAATGGTAGGGAAAACTCAATATTACTTTTAAATGTTTCAATTTTTCTACTTTAAATACTTCTTTACGTCTAAGTAACAATAAAAACTTTCTTATGTTATCTGAAGTTTGTATATATTCATTTAGGTATTCTTTGAGTGTAATTTTCAATGTTTTTCGGCATATTTTTTGTAGATGAGAAAAAATCACGTGCCGTAGTTTCGTTCATATCGGTTGGTGTAGTGTTGGTTATTGGCCTTCCTGTTTGGTGGAATACAACTAAAGTGTACAGAGCAACACTCCCGCAAGCTGATATACAAGAGTTACCAAATGTAAAGGTATAAGAGAATTAAAAGTCACTCATTTTAACACTTTGAAATGGCTGGGCACTGACCAGACTGCAGAGTACGGCAAGTGCACACCCGAGATTTTTTTTGGCCAATGGTATTGCACACTTAAACATATTTCAAATATTTTCCAGTTTTGTCAGGCATTAAAATAAGGACTTCTAAGACAAGTGTAATATAACAACCATGCACCTGAAAATCGGGAACGCTGATTCATGGGCACAAATGAAAAATGTCCATTAAAGTTTTGAATTTCTACAGCAGAGTTTTGCGATCATCAGGTTGTTATGATTAAACAAAACCGTATAGCATGTAAGCATGGGCACAAGAGAACTTTTAATTGGTCCGATTTCCTCGAGGCGCCACCATGGTTGGCGCCGAGCGGAAAATTTTTGAAATTTGGAGTCCCTACATTGTCGGAAATGGTATTTTCGAGTGCACACTTTTCCATTTACAACTCAATTACAAGGACATGCACATTTTCCTTTTACAGGACACAAAGTGTGTCAAAAACACGTTATTTTGTACGTGTTCATAATGACTTTTAACTCCGATCGAAATATATATTCTTGTTTGTTCGTCAGAATTTGGACCACGTTTTGTTTTCCTGAGAGGCAGAAATTTTAGTTATTTGTACAAATAAACAATCATTGTTTAATATCATTAAAACATGTAGCTATTTACAAGTGCACACTTGACTACGTCAACTGAGGATTGCACACTTGCACACCTGAATTTTTGTCTTGCACACCCGAGATCTCGTCGAAAACTGCCATACTCTGCAGTCTGGGGCACTGACTGTTTTTGTTTAATGTATATTTAATAATTATAGGTGAAGATTAAGGTTGCTTTGACAGTAATTTTTGAGCGAGATGAACAAAGACAGGAGGATTTCTTGGACATCTTGTCTGATAAATTAAACATCAATGACACAGGTCTGTAAACAGAATTTAAGCCTTCCAAATCTATTCTAGAATCGGCTATTACATTTAAAAACCAACCCCCCTGTCGAGAACCTCTGCTTTTGGGGATTTTTACCCCTCTGGAATGCAAAAAAATCTGTGTAATTGACCCCTCTGGAAGAGATTTGAACCCCCTCTGGAAGTGCATTTTTGCTTTTTAACCCCTCTGGAAAGAGCATTTTTCTTCCATTTTTCCCAATTACGCCTCTGGAAAAAATGACTAATTTCCCCCTTGGAAAATGAAGTCCTCGATGAAAGTGCGAATTGATAGAAATGTAATAGCCCAATTAAGAATGTTTGAACGATGTTTAATAGATTACTCTTAAATTTATCCTCAGTTTGACTGACAACATCTGAAATATTTTAGATGATGAAAATAATCCTGTACACATCACTTTCAAAGTGAATACCAGAGAATCAAATGCAGAAGAAAAACAACTGTTTACATCAGTTAATAATTTAGAAAGTAAGAAATAAATATTTTATGACAATCAAATGTTGTTTTACATAGCACAAGCCATTCTCTTATCATAATCATATTATCGATATCTATGTGTGAATGATCATTACAAAATAATTTCTAAATGTATAACCCATTGAGTGGCAGCACTCTTCCCTTGACAATTAGTAAAATCATCTGGCATTAGACAGAGTAAAATTATAGTAAAGTAGGGTGTCTCTGGGTGCAATGCAATTTCATGGGTTAAACCGATACATTTATCAGCAATGTTACAGTGAAAATACAAAAAGTGTCCCACTTCCGCTTCTGTAGTTTGTTGTGATTTACTGTAATTTGTTCTGTTTTTCTGTAGCGATTACCGATTTATCGGCAAATACTGCAATAAAATTTAAATTTCGTTCCTTTTATGCAATGAAACTAACGAAAAATGTATTATTTCCCTTTGCTACAAATTCTCATATTTAAAAATAGAAAAAACTAAGTTTTATCGCGGTATTTGCCGATAAATCGGTAATCGCTACAGAAAAACAGAACAAATTACAGTAAATCACAACAAACTGCGGAAGTGGGACACTTTTTGTATTTTCACTGCAATAATTACAGTAGTTTATGACTGTTGATTTGTATTATTTTAGATTTGGATGATAGCTTACAAGAGTTGTGGAAACCAGATATTGGAACAGTGGAGTATAGATTGATTGTTTTATCACAGCAAGGAGAGTTGTCAAAGTTGGCACAATGCTTTGTTGGAAAATATCGACATGCTATAGTTCTGTATGATGAAAGTAAGTCCAATAACATGCTGTGTAGAAAAATTAATGGTAACTGATTTCACCATCACCACCATCATTACTGTTATTACCACCATATCTACAATCACCATTGTTACCATCATTACCATCATCACCACCATCATTATCACCATGGCACCATCCTCACTGCCACCATTATCACCATTATCATCGTTACCATCACCATTGTTACCATCACCATCAACATGGCACCACCAGTCCTCACTGTCACCATCAATCCTCACTGTCACCATCAATCCTCACTGTCACCATCAATCAACATTATCATCATTGAAACCATCGTTACCATCACCATTGTTACCATCACCATCAACATGGTACCACCATCCTCACTGTCACCATCATCATCATTACCACCATTGTTACCATCACCATCGTTACCATCACCATTGTTACCATCAACATGGTACCACCATCCTCACTGTCACCACCATCATCACCACCATCATTACCACCATTGTTACCATCACCATTGTTACCATCAACATGGTACCACCATCCTCACTGTCACCACCATCATCACCATCATCATTACCACCATTGTTACCATCACCATTGTTACCATCAACATGGTACCACCATCCTCACTGTCACCATCATCATCACCATCATCATTACCACCATTGTTACCATCACCATTGTTACCATCAACATGGTACCACCATCCTCACTGTCACCATCATCATCACCATCATCATTACCACCATTGTTACCATCACCATTGTTACCATCAACATGGTACCACCATCCTCACTGTCACCATCATCATCACCATCATCATTACCACCATTGTTACCATCACCATTGTTACCATCAACATGGTACCACCATCCTCACTGTCACCATCATCATCACCATCATCATTACCACCATTGTTACCATCACCATTGTTACCATCAACATGGTACCACCATCCTCACTGTCACCATCATCATCACCATCATCATTACCACCATTGTTACCATCACCATTGTTACCATCAACATGGTACCACCATCCTCACTGTCACCATCATCATCATCATCATTACCACCATTGTTACCATCACCATTGTTACCATCAACATGGTACCACCATCCTCACTGTCACCATCATCATCATCATTACTCATTACCACCATTGTTACCATCACCATTGTTACCATCAACATGGTACCACCATCCTCACTGTCACCATCATCATCATCATCAATAAATCAGTTCATCAATACAATCAGTGTCATCAATACAATCAGTTCATCAATACAATCATGACATAATAATCATGTCATCAATAAATCATGTCATCAATACAATCAGTGCATCAATACAATCAGTGCATCAATACAATCATGCATTAATATAATCAATGTCCCCCCCCCCCGGTGCTCAAGGTACGCCCCTGTACATGAGTGTTATGAGCGCTTTATTTGATGATTTTCAGTGCAACAGCACATTTAGATATCGTCTTGTATTTCTCTTAAAGGATTTTGAAATTGAGAACAAAAAACTGCGGGAAACACTCAACGAATATAACACTGAATTTGCTGAAGTTAAAAACCAAGGTATAAATACTGTTACATACAGATTGTGATTCTCTAGTGCAAAGCTCACAGACATAGAGTTAAGTATTTTACTATGTATGTATTAATATTTCCAGAGGTGACAATCAATCGATTGAGAGAAAAAGTTCGAGAGTATGAAGATAAAATTGAGGATACAGCCAAGGTGTGTACTGGGGTGATTGTGAATGCAAAAGAGTCTTCCATAATTGATAATTTATAGTAAAATTAGTTTCTTCCTGTAGTAATACTGCATGGATCAATAATAGATTATTCTTGCTGGACCTCTAGGAAGAACAGTTTATCTAGTATAGATAAAGTTTGTTTAGTTTAGGTTTCTTTCTGTAGTAATACTACATGGATCAATAATAGATTATTCTTGCTGGACCTCTAGGAAGAACAGTCTATCCAGTATAGATAAAGTTAGTTTAGTTTAAGTTTCCATCTGTAGCAAGGCTAGAGGAATAAGAGATGTCTTTTACTGGACTTCTATGGAGAGCAGTTTAGAATTTATAGAGTTATTCAATATAAATAGAGTTATTAAAATATTTCTTTGTGAACAACTGTCAAGATTCAGATTTTTTATGTACAGATACGAGTGAAAGACAAAGAAAAAGAACTACAAAAAATTTTTGCTGAAAGAGAAAGGTGTAATTTTGATAGATTTAAATATGATTGTGACCGCTGTCTCTCACTAGCATCTTTCCATTTTCAGATGCTAACCTAAACACTTTTCATCCTAGACAATTACAAGAAACTCAACTTGAAGTGGCGAAGAAATTGGGAGAAACAGAACAAGAAGTGGTTGCATTAAAAGCAGGTAATTAGCTGTATCAGTTCTGTAACTGTTCTTCCTAGAAGTGGATGGAATTTTGATCATGGTAAATATTGTTACTTGTTTTAAATCCTGTAGCTTTGGAAAGTGCTCAGTCTGAACTGTTTGATGTAAAGTCAAAGTTAGATGAGGAGAACGAAGCAAGGTTAGTAATCACAATTTCTTTGCTTTTAAAAACATTGGTGTTGATAAATTAAAGTACAATTTGTAATGAAAGTTTAAAATTATTTTTAGGGGTTCTGCAATTGAACTATTGGAAGCTGATGTTGAGAGAGCCAGTCAGGTAACAATCTTAACAATCGTATTGTGTACTGTGTAGCTCTTACAGTATTCTTGTTTTGTTGTTATGATCAACCAATATCGCAAAGCTAGTTTATATAGATTGTTGGCGACCCTGATGTAGTGTCTACATACAACTTGTACTTTACTGAGTTTACTTTATCACTTCTAGAGAGCGCTGCTAGCAGAACGTTATGTAGAGTCATTGACTGAGCAGTTGAACCAAGTGAAATCAGAACTCCAGGTAAAGTTAAGGACTATTGTTTCATGTTAAATCTTGTGGTTAATACATTTCTAGCGTATATAAATTCACTTTTAGCAAACGTATATGACTTGTGTCGACTCACTTTATCTTCTTTTTCTTATCAAGACGTCTGATGAAAAATCACGGCCAAATGTGGTATGACTTTTAGTTTCTCTTTGAAACAAATGATAGCGATATTACATTTATTAAACGACGTTGCGATGCTACAACGTACAGTACATCATTTTCAAGTTATAGTAATTACATATATATTGCTATAACTTGAAAATGACGCATGCTGTAGCATCGAAACGGTGTTTAATAAATGTAATATCACTATCATTTTTTTTTCTAAATTATTTTCAAAAACGTTTTTGTAGTTTTTTCTTGTTTTTATTAACTTATAATGGCCTCTTTATAACGGCCTCTATACAAAAGTCTATTATACGATAAGTCCCAAGTGAAGTCGGTTTATCACTTGTTCTACACAACCTGAAAACTTGTTCAAATTCTTGACAGGACGATGCATTTCACTCAATCTCAAGGGCGACATTGGAACGAGAACTTTCAGCGAAAGAAAAGGAGGTACCCACTCTACCATGCAGAATATTCAAGTACGGTTTAATGGGTAGCTTGCGTAGCACCCGGTTTTTGGGGCGAGGATACAAAGCTTTTAGGTATGATAAAGCTGTTAATATGTTTTTGTTTGCTTCTAGATTGGTCAATTGGTGGAAGACATTCAACGTCTTCAAGCTGCCATGAATAAAATGCGTGAAGCAGGAATACATCAGGTACTATCAGACAATGTTAACCCAGTAAATAGCATTGTGCCCTCATTCACCCTACCTTGTTATTTTACTCTGCCCAAAGCCGGTTTTCCACTAGGCGGAATTTTGTGCGCGGAGCGGAATTTTTCTTTGTCTTGTGATTTCTCCGATGGTACTCCGCGCCCAAAATTTTACTAATCAAGGCAAGAGGTCTGGGCAAATATTGTTTTAATATGTTACGTCTGGTATTTATCGCAGGTTACTTCCCTAGAGGAACAGTTGGCAAGTAAATCTGAAGCCATTCACAAACTGGTGAGTTCCAATAATACACTCTTCTGGAAAGCGCGTCAATTTTGGCTATAGAGCCTCGTTTTCGTGTGCACGTGACAACATCGCTTTCACGAAAACGGGGGGGGGGGGGCTGGGGGCTTCAACAAAGTTTTCGTCTTTATCACACAATTAATCAATTAACTCTCTCTCGGTACGGTACTCTCTACTTCATTACCACTTGCAGCCTAAAGGTGCAGACACACCGGATGCGATTCAACAATGCGGTGCGATTTTTAGTTTTTGAACATTAATAAAACAGCCAATAAAAATAAATTTTAAAAGATATGTAGGCCAAATAACTCAAAATGTAATAGCGCTTCTAAATATTTGGAAAACTTAAATTAGGATCAAAGTTGGAACACTTAAATTAGGATAAAATGAGAGGCACTCACCCCCTGATAATAATCAAAATGGCGAACGTCCAGGGGGATGCCTCTCATAAGCGCACTAGCTAGGACTATTGCGTCAGCATTTTGATGACGAATCATGGCATGGCAGCAGTTACGCTTGGTTGAGTCACAGATGATAGATAATACCAGATGTCTCACTCAGCCAAAATTGTGTCCGCGATTTTTTATGAGCACGCGTTGGCCGCCATTTTGGTAGTAAGTGTAATCCATGCCATGAAACGTGAGCAATCACGCATTTTGGCAGTAAGTGTCGCACGCGTCATCTGGCGTGATAGCCTCGCGAAAATCGCGGACACGAAAATCATAGGGATAGATATAGAGTGATACACATCTGGTATTATCTATCATCTGTGGCTGAGTCGACCTTCTGTGTGTGTTTATTCTGTGGCCTTGTTTTGCCCAAGCTCTTGCTGAGCACATTGTATTGGATAAAAAAAATTAGAAATTTATCCCTAAGTTTGCACACTGTTAACCATCATGTGGATGTTCGCTGCATCTCCTGACAATAGGGAGTTTACGCTCTGCGACTCGGCCGGCTCGACGACGCGGTCTAAATTTTAGCTCAAGAATGAGCGCTAAGCAATTCAATTACTGTAATAAATATTTGACTCTTTCAAATAACCTTACAAAATGCTACGTTCGGCTGAAGCGATGCAATGTTTGCTGTAATTTTGACTTTTAGTAATACCTCTTGTGTCGCATTAAGCTTTCGCGTTGCCTGAAAGACGTAATAATGCTTTTTTAACGTTGTGTTGAGAATGACAACGCGGTTGACAATGCTCATGGGACCACAAATTATTGACAGCTTTTGTCTTGCATGACAAATTTCTTTGTAAATTCTTTGTAGGTTTGCATGGCTATAAAACACATAATACTATTGTTTGTGGAAACACCAAATTTCTTTGTTTTGAAAGCGCGTCGTCGAGCCGGTCGCGTCGTAGATCGTAAACTCCCTAATTTGTTCTAGGGAACCTGCATGTGGCGAACTTCCTGGGCCCTGGCACTACATTGTTGTATTTTTAGGTAGTTGCCGAATGCCGAATCTTATTAAATCATTAAATCAAACTATGCATGCTTGCATGATTATAAGGTTGAATAGCGACAAGCATTGTCCAAGCCCAGTTGGTGACGAAAATATTTGCATGCTAAAATTATGATTTCATCAGCAGATTCCAATGTGAGTTTGTTGTGTAATTTACCGGTACGTAAACGTACAATATTAACATGGAGCAGTATTCGATGAAATCATGAATCATAATAAAAATACTTTTTTCCATAATAAGACATAGGTTCATACGTGCGAAACTTCAGAATCTTGTCACAGATATACACTTGCCTTGAATTCTGAATTTTGCTCACCAGGATAATAATAAAAAATGCAAGTCATCTCGGTGCGAGCGGATATTGTGGCAAAAATAACCATTCAGCAGTAAGGAGAATTTGAGGTAATCAACAGTTATAATACTTGACGTTTTCAGAACCTCCATGCTTTTTAATTTTTCTGTAATTCATATTATTCATAATTTGGACCTTATTCTTGGTATAGACAGTACTAAAAATAATACCCAAATCCGAGCAAATGAGTTCCATTGCCACAATATATCGTTAGACTTATTTCAAAGTATGTCGTCAGACTTTTTTCAAGATATGTGGTCAGAATTATTTCAAGGTATGTGGTCATATGTTGTCCCCCTCATCATCAAATATGTTGTCGTCCTCATCAAATATGTTGTCCCCCTCATCATCAAATATGTTGTCGCCCTCATCAAGTATGTTGTCGCCCTCATCAAGTACTGTATGTGGCAAGGATAATCAGTTGCCCTACTGCCAAGATAAGGGAGTGTTCATTATTTATACCCGGGGTTGGTACCGAAGAGAAACTAATCGAAAAGGGAAGAAAACAACCACCCACCCTTTCGGTCAACCATTTTTTTCCCTACCCAACTATTGCATGACTTGGATTTTTATTTTACCCAACCCAATTTCAAAATTATACAAGTATTTTACATATATACATATATATTATTATACAAGCTAGGCCACTATAGTATAAATATGCAATACTATGCATATTTGGTATACTATAACTGAATGTCAAATATAATCATTTGTACCTTCACAAGTTCATATTATGTTCCCAAGCCTCCACGTTCCTGCAGTCCTACCATATCTCGTTGTTGTAATCAGAGGGGATGGGGAGTTTGAGTTTAGTTTTCCTTGTGGGGAATGAATGGATATTTCCATATTTTGTTCAATTCAAGGTTTGTATTGAAAATAATTTACCCACCCATAGGCTTTGTTCAAATAATATTTACCCAACCCTTCATACCCCAGAAAAATGGCTTACCCAACCCATTTCTCTTCGGTACCAACCCCGGGTATAAATAATGAACACTCCCTAACGCTGAACGAAAAGATGTGGAAAACCCGGCGCCTTCTGGCACCACTCTCTTCTGCAGAGAACTCTGCAAACAGGTTTTACAATAAAATTAGCAGCGTTGCCATTGGGAGTATTAGCGATTTTCTTGCTCTATGTTGATATAAACATTGACCCCATTTTAAGATCGGAAAAAATTCACAGTGCAACCACTTATGTGCTAGCTGGTGTATTCGTGCTAGAATGCGTGGGAAAGTACTTTCCAGTAGTTGGAATGGTGGTCCTAGTCATCCGTCACGTGATAGCATTCGAGAAGACTTTGTACATTGCCAATGTAGCCGTGTTCTTCCCGGATTTGAGAAAACTGCTTAATCAGTTTTCGTGGCCCTTGACTTATGCGAGCGCACTTTTCTTTGTGATACTACAAAGATATGTTCGTTTATTTCCTTTGAACTCTCGTCTACGAACCGTTCATGTGGTCATAAATAACGTATGCCTGAACTGGATCGTCTCCATGATTTACATATACAACCTCCTTCCAATGGTTATGGACACAAAAGACGAAACAAAGCAAGTGATATTACTAGCCATTACCCCGTTCCTGCCTGTAATACCTGTTGTTATTTGCGATCGCTGTACTTTGATTGAAATCTCTAAAATCACCAACCGAGTGTATGGTTTCGTTTTTGTTTGTTTGAGCCGTGGAATCGTTATTTCTCTATGTCGTATCATACAAGCCGATTTCACGAGTATATGGCTATTCATGGGAGTGTCTTTGTCCCTAGGTTTTCTCAAAGTGGCCGGCAAAGCAACAGAAGAGCTTCGGGGCAATGTAATGGCATACTTTTTAGACCTCCAAGAAATCCCAAATCTCCAAGGTTCATGGCAGATATCGAAATCCAAGATATCCTGTTTGAATGGATAACGCTTATTCTCAGCCAAACTTTGGTTGCACTCTCGCTGATACAAACCTGTGGGAATTCACACTGGGATGTTCTCAATAAGTCCCTTGTCAGGATTGCTATTGGACTAGGCATAGATTTTATTTTCAATTGTTTTTCCATCTTTATTCAAATGCGTTGGTGCCATGTTCCACTTCACACGGTCTGGTTAAATCACTGGAAATATCACATGCTGGTTAACGTCATCGCCCTCGCGATAATCTTGATTATCTACACACCAAGCCTTATCACAGCTTATGGAATACAAGGGCAATTTAGAAAATATGGAAATGACAATTGTACATCGGTCTTTACACAGTGGTGAAACAGATGCAAAACAAGACTGACTCGTCATTAGTATAGCTTAAGAAACTAATTATGTACATGCTCATCCAGACATTGACCACTGGCCTATATAGTGTTATATGAATGGAAGAAACAGTGTACAAACAAACATTATAAATAAGGCTTGTCTCAGAACGACATTTTAAGCTATGTAATAGTTTGCCGCATGCATGCATAGTATTAGGTTGCGTTCAGACTGAGTGACCGGCACTGGTGCCCAATGTTCAAAATGGTTCCCAAAACATGTTGAGCACAGTGCCATTGTTGAGTACTACCTCTAGAAGTAACATCATCATTACCACCATTGTTACCATCACCATTGTTACCATCAACATGGTACCACCATCCT